TTAAATCCACAGTACTTCCACTATAAACAAACAAACAAACCTAATTACCTCCCCTCAACAAAATGAAATGAAAAAATAAAAACAGTTAAAAATACATAGTATTATTGCAGTAACAGATAACTGACGCAGAGGACCATGACATACTCTTCAACTCATTAATAGTGAATTGTTACTAAGCTCATTTACTCAGAAGTTCTCTGCAAGTAGTTACTATCTTTTTGAATAGTAATAGTGGACATGTTTGGAAGGTATGATGTAGCAGGTGTAGATAGAATACATTGTTTTTCATGACTTGATAACACTGAAAGATTACAGTTAAAAACTAAACGAAATTTTTTTCTAAAGTCATAATATTTGGTAATTTTAAAATGCTTTGTAAATTACTATGCACCCCAATTTTTTTTGGTGGTAGTTGATGATGTTCTATAAGAAGTTAAGTTTAGGAGTAATAATGTCTGTCTTCAGTGTGGTTCAGCAGAGGTTATTTTACTCATTTGCATTTGGTTTGAGATTTGAGAATAACAGTAACTTCATTTTATGTTTGAAATCTAGAAATGCAGAGCATCTTGGTAAATTTTATCTCAGATTATTCACTTTGTAGTCAGTAAAACCTAAATACCCTACTTGACTATCTTAATAATCATTTCTACTTGGTAGTCATCCTTAGAGATGTATCTTGGTCCAAGAAAAACCTTTCCTCTTCCTAACTCTACACACTGAAAAATCAGGCTCCTTTGGGAAGAACAACAACAATAACAACAACAACAAACAAACAAAACCAAAAACAACCTCAGCAATTTCACTATATCATTTTAAAACTAACTTACTAGGTAGCCCCAATTGGTGAAGTATAAACAAGAACTGACTTTCTTTTCCCTAATCATTGCCTCCACTGATGCTTTGTCAACTCTCCCTTTCTCATCAGCTAACTGATAAATCAAGTCAATTCCATCAGTTCTGGTTATTAAAACTCAGTCTTGTTGTTTAAGAACAAAATTAAAATATTGTTTTTCTTCTTTAAAAAAAAAGCCCAGTCTAGCCTTTCCTTCCATATATTTGATGACCTTCACGTCTTACAAGTTCAGTGATAAATGTATGGAAAAGCACCATTTCCCTAAATCAATTCTTAATCAAATGGCTCAATATGAAATATCAGTAAACATCAAATCATAATCCTTCTGTTGGTTTTTAGCCACATAAAAAAGAGTAACAGATTTTCTTTCTAAAGTGGGTAGCTAATGCGGGTCATGTGTGAAAACAATCAAAAGCTTTAACATTTTAAAAGCAAGTACTGTCCTTGTGGGCTGTAACTATTAAAACTAATATTAATAATTTAATGAATGCCAGCAATGTAAGAATATTTGTGCAACATGTAATTAGAATTAATCCTTACCTTGTCAGTTTACAATTCTGTCAACATGAATCTAAAGTAATTAAATATAATAAAATCTTGAATTATAATCGAATGATACCTTTACAAGTTGTTCTAAAGAAAATACCTCAAAAATACTCCCTACACATAATCTTTTTTTTTACCCAGTACAAACTCAAAATCTTGAGAGGGAAAAATCTAAAACCCATAATTAAAAATACAAAACAAAACAATTTCTGCCTCTACCACCCACATGTCACTTTGAAAATAAGCTCCAGATATTACTGGAAAAAGAAACGCACCAATTGAATCATGTTTATAGTCATTTCATTTCTCAATTATGAATTTGGATTAAAACCACCATTGTCCATACAATAAATTCAATGGATGCCAAAATGACATTTCATAAAATTCAACACCTATTTCAAATTTTTAAAAAACTCAGAAAACTAGGAATAGAAGGATACTTCTTTAACATACCTTACCATATTTTTAAAAATTTAAATCAACAATAATGGTTTTCCCATTAAGTCTTTTAACAAAACACTTTCACTGTTTCATTTTAACTCTGTTCTGCTATCTCCAGCAAATGCAATAAAACATGAAGCCAAAATAAGAGCAGTGACTATTGGATTGAAAAATATAAAAATAAAGTTACCTGTGACCCATGTGATTAACTATCTACACTCCAGAAAATCAATTGAAAAACTCTCAGAATTAATAGGAGAATTAAAATAATACAGAGGTTAATCACAGTGGTTTGAATCACAGCTTCACCACTGGTAAGATGAATAACCTCGGGAGGTTACCTTATAAACCTCAGTATTCTCATCCACAAAAAGGGGATGATAATACTAATTCCATTGGTTTGTCATGAAGAATACATGAGATGATATATTTAAAGTACTTAAAGACATGGCATTTGGCATTTAATAAATATCAGTAATAATCATAAATTATTATTTCATTAATGTTATTGTTCAATAGTGGCACAATACAAAATAAATAGACATAAACCAAAAGCTTTACCGAATACTACCAATAACCATTAGGGAGATAAAATGGGGAAAATATCCTATTCACAATAACAACAAAAAATATAAAATACATGGTTTGATGGGACATTCTGACTCATCAGAGAAGCAGAAAAAAATCAAAAACACTTGCACACACTCCATCCCATTCCCCACTTCCACCAGTCTCTGTTTAAACCTGTTGCTATGATAGCAGCTTTGGCTTACTACTTGTGGAAGGAGGTTGATGTGAAAAAGCAGACTGGGGAATGGATGAGTGGAGTCTCCCCATCAGGTCCTATGAATTGGCTTTGAGCAAGTAGTAGGACATGTAGATGAACTGCTTCCAGGTCACCTCTTACCTCTGAAACAGCCAGAATGTCTCAACACACTCCATGCCTTAGAGTTAAAACCATTAATCTGGTCCTGGTATCTGGAACTGTTAAATGACCTTCTGGTCCCTAAATATACCCTGCTTAGGGGTCACAGCACTTCTGCCAAAGAGGCCTAGGTGGAGGTTGTCTGGAACCTTCCCGCCAAGAAGGGCCATCAGAAAGCAACCTACACTAAGGTACAGAATGGTGACTCTAGTCAACAATACTCTACTGTATATTTGAAAGTTGCTAAGAGAGTACATTTTAAAAGCTCTCACCACACACACAAAAATTGTAACTGTGAATTGATGTATGTGTTAACTTACTTTATCATTTTGCAATATATATACATATATAAAATAATTATATTATACACCTTAAAATTACATGTTATATGTCAATTATATTTTAATAAAACTGGAAAAAATTTAACAAGTGAAATTGACCTACAGCAATAATTTGTAAATCTCTTTTTCTGATACATACAATAACTAAATCAGTATGATTCTAGGATTCTATATAACAGAGATATATACAGAATAGACAGCCCAGAAATATGCCCTATTATATATTTTTAAATTAATATATTATGAAGGAGGCACTATAAATCATGGGTGAAAAGATACATTATGAAATAAACATTGTGGGAAAAATCGGTTAACTACTCGGAAATTTTCTCTGTAGTTGTGTTTTTCAATTGTTCTCAACCACTAGGCATCAAAACTTCCTCTTTTAGTTTACTATAAAAAACTCAAAACTTATGAAATGTTAAAATTTTTCAGAGTCAAACCATAAAAAAAATCTAGAAAAGCAGGCATAGTAATCCACACTTTAAATATTTCAGGGCCATCTAAGTTTAAAAGCAGAAGGATCCCCAAAGAAAAAAATACTTAGACTTGAAAAGAAAGACATTTTGAATAATTAATAGGTGAAAATTTCCTAAACCTGACCAAAAATATCAACTTAGACATAACAGAAGCTCAGCAAACCTCACACAAGATAAATAAAAATGAAATCTCATGAAGGCACATTATGGTTACAAATGCTATTTTCCAATATCACTTAGGCTAGTTTGTTTCTTCCCCACCTCCTTCGGGTGACTGTTATTTACATGTAATATAATTAAGTTTATTTGCCACAGTACTGTAGTCTATTTTGGAATCACATTCTCTCTCTTCCTAATTAATTAATTTTTTTTTTAGGGATGTGAAACATTACCACGGTTCTAAAAGTTAGAAGTACAAAAAGGTATTCACAGAGAAGTTTCACTCTCCCCTCATCCCTCTTACCCAATCCCTATTCTCCCATTCTCTCTGCCCTGCTCCCACTCATTCCTCCATTCTCTATAGATAAATAATGCCATGACTTTCTGATTTACCCTGTAGGTTTCTCCTATATTTACTTTTGTACAAATGAGCATACACACACACACACACACACACACACATCAGACAAAAACTTCTTAAGCAGGATATTCAAAGCAATAATCATAAAAGAAAAAAAATTGTACTACATTAAAATCAAGAATGTCTGTTCATCAAAAAGCATCATTTAAAGATTAAGGACTGGGGGATGGATAAAGCCAAAGGCTAGGAGAAGATATCTGCAATAAATTTATCCAGTAAAGATTCATATTCTCATATTTAGAATATTTATAAATTGGTAAGAAAAAGACAGATAACCCAATAGAAAAATGGGCAAAAGACCTGAACAGGCACTTTGCCAAATGGGATGTTCATGTGACTGTTAAACATTCAAACAGGTGAGCAACTTCACTGTTCACCAGGGAAATGCACATTAGAGCAGAAATGTGATACTACTACATACCTACCAGAATGGCTAAAATGAAAAGGACTGGCAATTCCACGTATTGACAAGGATATGGAACAAGTGGAACTCTCATACACTGTTGGCAGTATAACTTGGTACACAAATTTTGTAAACTGCTTATCAGTATGTAGTAAAGCTAAACATATGCATGTCCTATAACCCCAAACTTCCTTTTCTGGGTTGTGGTAAATCTTTATAATAATGGCCCCCAATAAATCATGCCTCCTTGTATTCATATCCTTTTACACTATAATGCTGCTACTGCTCCCTGGAAGAGATGGATCTTTCCTAACCCCTTTGAATCTGTGGCTAGCCTTGCAACTTGCTTTGACCAATAGAATATGGCAGAACTGACTTTGTGTGAGTTCCAGAGCTGAGGCCTAAAGAGGTTTTGCAGCGTCTGCCTTTGCCCTCTTGGGACCCAGCTGCCATGTAAAGAAGTCCAGGATATTCTGTTAGACAGAGAGGCTACATGAGGAGAAGGGAGATGTCCAAGTTATGGCCAACACCAAAGTCCCAGACATGTGAGTAAAACCATTTGGACCTCCCTCCTCAGCCCAGCTAGGTTGAGTGAGCCCATCTGACACCACGTGCAACAAAGACAAACCAACCACACTGAGCTCTGTTCAAATGTCTGACCCACAGAATCACAAGCAATAAAATGGCTGTTGTTTTTAGGCACTAAATTTTGGGGTGGTTTGTTACATAGCAATAGACAACTGAAAATGAATACATAGCAAAAGAAAAGAATACATATGTTTACTAAAAAGGACATGTACAAGAATGTGCATAGTAAAACACTTAAATGACCCAAACTGAAAACAACTCAAATGTCCATAAACAACTGAATAGATAAATTTTGATATATTCATAAAATGGAATATTATTCATCAATAAAAATGACCAAATGGATGACTCTCAGAAATACGATGTTAAGTAAAAGAAGCAAGACTTAAAACTCTCTACTTTCATTTATACAGAGAAGTTCAAAAACAAGCAAAACTAATCTAGAAGGTACAAGTCAGGAAAGTAGTGATGGGGGTGCAGGGATTGGATAGTGACTGGAGGGGGACAAGAAGGAAGCTTCTGTAGCTCTGATAATGTTTTATTTCTTGTTCTGGGTGCAGGTTACAAGGCTATGTTTACTCTGAGAAAATGTATTAAGTCATAAACTCATTTGTGTACTTTCCTGCAATATGTGTACTTTTCTTCCAGAAAAGTTCACATAAGAAGAGTAAACCACTGTCCCTGCCTTTGATAAAATTTTAACAATATTCTTAAATCACTTGCAGAATTTTTTTAAATGCAGATTTTTAAAAATACAGAGCCTGAGTAAATATCTTTGGGCTGGAACCCAGCCATCTGTGGCTATGACTCTCCATAAGAGATTCTGATGCATAGCCCAGATTAAAATATTAACTCATTAGCAGAAAGAGTGCTGTTTCATTTCATCATTACTATACTTCCCCTTAGAAATATTTTTGCCAAGGAACATGAAGCACAAACAACTGTCTTCAAGTTGTAATTATCTAAAAGAAAAAAAATGGCAAAATACCCACTTTCATCTACTCCCCACTCCTCAGGTTTGGCTATTCCACCATTCAGAAAGCTTCTACAGATCATTAAATGCTTTCATCAGTTTCATACATATGTACTTAGCTCAGAGTATACCATTAAAATACCATTCTTTTGCCACTTTGATTAGTCACTAGATTAAAAGATGCTCTTAGATGCAACATTTTTAACTAGGGCAAAAAAATGGTTGGCCCAAATTGAAGAAAAATGAATTTTTAAGTCAAGTGTCTACCTTGAGAATAACAATAGGCAAATCTTAATTTGCAGGAGAAATACATGACTTATGAATATCTATAAATTTATAATAATTTTGAACCACACCTATATTACCTATATCTGAAATGATTTCTTTGGTCATTTCAGAATGACTAAATGATAGATAGATAGATAGATAGACAGACTGACAGACTGACAGATAGACACTTAGCTAGCTATGCACAAAAGAGAGACATGATAGGGCCAACTGTGTTTAATTTGCCATTTCCCCCAGATCTGTTTCATGAAATACTCAAGATATTTTGATCTCTCAGCACAAAAGTTCTATGGATAAAAATAAGATCCTCTTTACTAAGCTACTATCATACATCAGTATTTGGTATTACATAGACAAGACAGATGGGCATCTTTTTAATTTCTTACTGTTCTCCCATCTTCAGAGTTAACATTCCTTGACAAGACAATTCAATATTTAATGATTGTTTTTCAAAAGACAAAACTTTTTACTTACTTGGATCTTTCTTGTGTACATGTGCATAGTTTTCCAACATGAAGGAGAAGAAGTTGGATAGCTGGACAAAATAAAAATACATTTATCAGTTAATGAACCCCAAACAGCTACTGTGGCAAATGCTGTTGGTGTTCCATGCAAAGTTCCCTTTACTCTTCTGAGGCTCTCATCTCCCAGCTGCCATAGATGCTAATGGGTCCCGCCTCTACCTGCTCCCCTGCTCCCCAGGATTGCCTTTGGCAGATGGGCAGCACCTTCCTCAGAGTTGCTTAGGATATCAGATGTTCCCCCTCCTGGGGAGCTGTCCATAGAAAATGAGTAACTAAAGCAAGGGTATCAGAGCCCAGACCCCCACCTCCATTGCCACCGGGTGGGACAAACTGTGACGCATTTCACAGTTCTGAGCTCCCAGTGCGATCAGGCTGAGGTCAGACTTCTCCAAAAGCCCTATTTTTGCCTAGTTTCTTCCCCTGTACTATCCTGCTTTCCTCACTCCCTTATATGTAGGTTTTTCCTGAGAACACTCTCTCAGGAAGTCACTTGTACCAGAATCCCTGTCTTAGACTCTGCTTCTAGAAAACAACCTAAGACAGCTACTAGATTTTGTTCACTATGATCTCTTCTGTTCCTTTTGGTTGGTGAGATTACGAGTTAAGGGATATTCTTAGATGTCAAATATATTTGGGAAATGAAGGAAGGAAGGGAAGGAGGGAGGGAAAGATGGAAATTCACCAGCATTCCAACCATCACCTAGATATTGCCTCTATGCCTACCAATTATCTGCAAAGACCTGCATGTATACAGCAGAAAGAATTCTTTCTCCAAGCCCTGCCTCCCATGAAGAGTGAACATTAAGGAATCTTACCAATCTGGGAGTAGATTTGGGAGTTAAGAAAAGGAAAACTTCATACAACTATCAAAATGTATAATTTTAATGCAGTTGATGGGTTTGTCAATTAAGAGTCAACAGAAAAAAAAAGAGTCAACAGAAATTACAATGAGATACTACTTCACACACACTAGGATGACTATCATCAAAAAGACAAATAAGAAGTGTTGGCAAAGATGTGGCAAAACTGTAGTCCTCATACACTGCTGGTGGGAATATAAATGGTATAGCTGCTTTGGAAAACAGTTTAGCAATTACTCAAAAAGTTAAACCTAGAGTTACCAGATGACCCAGCAATTCCATTCCTAGATATATACCCAAGGAAACTGAAAACATACACCCACAGGAAAACATACAAACATTCATAGCAGCATTATTCATAATAGCCAAAAAAAAGTAGAAACCACCCAAATGATCTACCACTGAGGAATAGATAAACAAAATGTGCTATTATCTATACAATGGAATAATATTCAGCACTAAAGAGGAATGAAGTATTGACACATGCTACAACATGGATGAAACTTGCAGACATGATGCTAAGTGAAATAAGTCAGTTACAAAGGATCACACAGTGTGTGATTCCATTTATACAAAATGGCCAGAAAAGGCAAATCCTTAAAGATAGAAAATAGATTAGTAGTTGCCAGAGGACAGACAAGGGGTGGGAATGTGGAGTGACTGCTAATGACTATAGAGGTTTTTTTTGGGAGGGGAGGTGATGAAAATGTTCAAAAATATATTGTGGTGATGACTGCACATTTTTGGAATATACCAAAGACCACTGAATTTTTCACTTTAAATGAGTGAATTGTATCTCAATAAATGTGTTATAAAAAAGACTTTGGTATTAAAGAACATACTAATACCGGAATATTTGTATATAAAGTATATCAATTTAAGAGCTCACTCCACCTTTATCTCCATCACTATATTCTATAGTGCTTAAAAGGACAGTCAACACTGTGAACTATGGGAATACCTGACTGAATCACAGGATATAATTTTTTATAACTACCAAGAATAAATCCAGCAATTTCTTTAATTCTTTTTAAAATTTTCTTAGTTATTTCTGGATTATATGATAAATAAATTTATAGATAAACATATAATTGTTGAAAACTACAAATGATATGGAATGAAAATGAGAAGGCCCTTGCCACCCAATCCTACCCACCAGTATCACTCTTGTCCCCAGAAAGAACCATGGTAAATATTTCACTGTATACTTTTTCCCAGACTTTTGCTGTATGTTTCATTTTCTTTCACATATATAGGGATGAAAACTCTTCATATTATTCCACAAGTTGATTTTTTCACTAACAATTATATTGTAGATCTTTCCAAGATCTTTTTTATTATTAAAAGTATTTTTTTTCTATTAATAAGCATTGAAGCTAGATTTACATATCACTTGAAAAAGTCCGTCTTCACCCATCTATATTTTCTTCTAGAATTTTCATGTTTTTTCCCAGGAAATTCTTCCATTTATTTAACTCCTTAAAGTATTTTTTTCTTCATAAAGTAACAACTTTACTTCCTATTAGGGTACATACCAAAAAATAGAACAAGACCATTTATATTAGTTAACTAGACATCTGGCAGCCCTTTTAAAAATATGAACTTCAGAATTGAAAAACACCATCCTCTTTCTGCATCATACTCTCTTTTAATAGCTAGTTCCAAAACAATGTCACTACATCCTCTATAAAAGTTTTTCACCAAGGTAAACTCAGCTTAAAATGGACCCAAACTTTCATTCTTTCAATAACAAGGGGCAAAGAGAAGCATTTACCCAAAGAAGAGACAAGTTTGCAAAACAGACCTGCAGTTGGCCTTGTTCATCAGCATATTCGATAGACTGGAAGATGGTGAGAGCATAACGCTGTCTGGTCTTCAACCTAGCACTGTAACCTCGGTACCAGTTCTGGATGACCAATGCGGCTTTAAGTGCTGCAGATCCGCAGGATATGAAAGGCAAAGAAAAACAGTTACAATGCAGCTACGGGGAGGGGAAGGTAGGTGTTTCAGAAAAAAATCAGTCCACTTGGGTTCCCACGTTCTAAGAACATAAAAAGTACAATGAGATTAACCTTTATGTTTTTGTAAAATGTCCTCAAGTCTCAAATACACAGAGAATAATGACATAGCCATTAAGAGCAGAATTTCTGGAGCCTGAATTTGAATCCTAACCCTGCCAATTACTGTCTATGTAATTCTGGGAAAGTTATTAAAACTCTCAAAGCCTCAGTTTCCTCGACTGTAAAATGGGGATAATAATAGTACTCTGGCACTACTTAGGCATATGAAGTAGCAATTCCATTCTTCACTATATACCCTAAAGCAATTCTCACACAGTCCATAAAAGATACATATGGGGATACAATGCTCCTTTGCGGCAGTGGGGAGTTTGACACCAACGCAGCCTAACTGCGGTGGGTGCACATCGTGGAGTATTATGCCACAACTGGAAGCCATAGATAGCAATGAGGATGGCTCTTAAAAACATCGTGCCTCAGTTAGAACAGTTATTAAAAAGTTAGAGACAGAATGTAATACAACATGATACCATTGTATATAAATTTAAAACACACACACAAAACCATAATATATGTTTCATAAGAATATATAGTAAGGGAAAGAAACTAAAAACAATAGATTGGTTATTTATGGGGGGAATGAATGAATGAGCATAGAGGATATGGATAAAAGGGAATAGCTAATAAAATTTTTTTCAAATATTTACTGTCTGCAGTTGGTTGAATACATGGATGTGGAACCCATGAATATAAAGAGCCAACTGCACCTTAGAGGGAGCCTTTCAGTTACACCATAACAACATGATACCTAGGTGATAGCTCTTTATATTCAATGTTCTCTGTTCAAATCACTCTGTGGTTTTGGCCTCCTGACTAGACCCTGCCTGATGAGCTGTACCATCCAGGTAGGGAAAGTAGGTTCAGCTTAAGCCTCAAGCCTCCAACTTCCTGCGTGCTCCAGCTCGGGTCCTTATTCGATTTCCACATTGGGATTTTGAATCTTTGGGCAGTGGCTGATCAAATGGACTTTGACCCACATCCTGCTATTTATTGCTCCTTGGGCACAGAGTTCACACAGCACCCTCTCCAGCAGGGAGAAGGAGACAGGCAGCGCACGGCTGGGCATACCAACCTCAGACCTCTAAAACCTCAACTGATTTCTAAGAACCCATTCACCCACAGCAGGGCCACTCTAGCCAGCTGAGGATCCTCCTCTGAAGCAGAAACCTGCAAAATGGCAAAGGGTAGAGCCCAGATATGACAGACCCTACCCGAGATGGGTCACTGGCTCCATGATCCCCAACTCTGCCCGTCAAGTTGATGATCTGGGTCATCCAGCTCTAAACTCGTTGGACAGCTTAGACCCACTTCTAGTCCTGCTGTTTCATCAGGGCTTGTCTTCCCTGTCACATTAATTCCATCCAGAAAACAAAAAAAATCAAGTATTGCCATGTGTGTCCCAAGGGCCTTCTATTTTTGTTTCTAGAAGCAAGTAACAGCACAGGTTTAGTAAGTTACCTGGCCGGTTTTCTGTGATCAGCACAGGTGGTTTCTCTATTGCCAAGCCAGTTTTTTTGTTGCTGTTGTCCTTGTTTTTTAATGGAGTCCTTTTCTCTGGTGGCAACCATTATCATGGCATTTTGCAAGAAATTAAATGTCCATGTGAAAGGTCAATGAGCAAAACAAATAATAAATTCAGAGCATTTGCTTTGTGCCAGGCACTGTGCTTGGTGCTTTATGTGGATGATTTGATTTGATCTGATTTGACCCTCTCAACGATCCTATGAAGTGTCATTATCCTTGTTTTACAGATAAGGAAAGTGAGGCTCAGAAATAATTGTTTGGGGTCACATTGCATGTGAGTGGGAGAATGTAGAGTCAAGTCCAGATTTCTGTAATTCCAGAAACTGGACTCATAACCCCTAAGTTATACAACCCAGCATGCCATTTGGAATCAGTCATAAAAAATGAGATAATAATGTAGATCAGTATCTCCCCCAACCCCTTCCCTACCTCATGTTCCCTATACTTTTTACCTGTTTTATTGTTCTCCATAGTACTTTTTACTGACATTCTATACAGTCACATGTTTATGTGTTTAGTGTCTACCTTCCCCTATTAGCTAAGCTACACAAGAACAGGGACTTTTATTTTATTCACTGCTGTATTCCCAGTACCTGGGGTAAGGCCTGGCAATAGATATTTCTTGAATGACTGAAAGAATGAATGAATCACTTCTAGGGCCATTGTCATAATACATAATAATATGCTAGTAATGAGTTTATATACATATTAGTAATACATTAACTGATTTAGTTATTAAAATAAAATGCTTAGCATATTGCCCAACATACAGGAAGCACCCAATTAATGGTAGATACTTTTTTTAAAAAGGAGGGAGTAAAAGGTGATAATTATCTCTCTTCCAGCTAACAACTTCTAGTACCCCCAAAGACTTCCTAATTATACATAACATTTTATTAAAAATTTAACAAACTACCATTGAACAGGTTACCATCTCAGGAGCAGAAGAGCCGTGCCAACCGGGACCCACGGGGCTTGCTCCCTTAGAATCCACAGTCCCGGCTCAAACATCACCTTCACAGTGAGGCCTTTACTGACCACCCCTTTTAAAATGGCACCCGTCCCCCATTGCCTATCTCCTTCTTTATTTTCTCTCCAAGCACTTATCACCATCTGATATAGCATCTGTTTTATTCATTTGTTACTGTCTGTCTCCTTTCACTAGAATGTAATCTCCATAAAGACTGGGATTTTGGTCCACTGGGTTAGCTACTGTATCCTCTGAGTCTGGAAGAGTCCCTGGAATGTAGTAGATACTCAGTAAATATTTGCTGAATGAATGAATGAATGAAATTATTGTTTAGTTAAAATTTTGTGTCTTGTGTTTCTCTTCATTATAACTGCTGAGTCTTTGGTTTGATTCTTCAAATAGGAGTTTATTTGACAGTCCTCTAAATAAGAAGCTTCATATTCAGAATTATATAAGGCACTTAAAGACTCTGCTTTTGAAATTCTGCTAGCAGAGGCCTCTTGAGGAGACAACAGGATGAGTGAATATTTAATGTAACTTTAAGGGGCCAGATACCCAGTCAGGAAGAGAGGCACAAGTGTGACAGAACTGATTAAAATGAATTCAAATGAACCATCTAGCGGCAAAAAGCTTTCAACAAGGAGGAAAAGCATCTATTACCTCAGCTGTTCAAAGCATGATGAGAACTGGGTATGGCTCAACTCTGGGACCATAGTTTTCGTTGTTCTTACTTTTGTTTACAGATATCTGCCATCTGCTAGAGGTAGCTGTCCCAGTGAGACTTCCAATTTCACTGGAAAAACAGCTCAAAAGCACATGCCCAGTGGAAATGAAATGGTCACAAAACCTGCTTCTTGGACAGCAAGCAAGGCAGGGACCCTCCGAGGCTCACTCATCCACAAACTCTGGCATTCCTGCAGAGCAAGGGCACAACACAGCATCCTTGTCCCTGGAAAGCACTTTTCTTAAACAAAAAGAAAACGAAAATAAAGCATGGGCCCAGTCTCCAAGCAATGACAGACATTTTAAACAAAACCAGCACTTTCCCAAATGACAAAAGAGATCATAGTGTTATCATTCTTGTAAATCTTTGGCCTTCCAGTCAGAGAAGGGCAAGAATTAGAGGTCACTTCTTTGACTTTTTCTTTACGCACATGCTCGCTCACCCACCAACCCATCCACATGGAATAATAAGGATAAGTTCTGAATTTGTAATCTGGAGATTTCCATTTTGGTCCTTACTCAGCCAGGTGCCAACTGTGTAATCTCAGGCAAATTGCTTAATCTCTCTGGTCCTCAGTTTCTTATGTGAACAATGAGAATGTGGGATTATGTGATTTCTAAGATCCTTTCTGATTATAAAATACTCTAATTCATCCCTCTATTTTTTTAAATGCCCCAGCTATAGCCTACCTACAGCAAAGCTGAAAATAACCATTAAAGGACAAAGTAGGATGTGTAAATGTGAACACTCAAATCAAAAGCTTCTGGACAAAAAAGACAAATTCTAAAGGCTACTCAAAAGAAAAAAATTTGAATTATCCTTGTAAAAAAAAAAGTCCAAGTCAATTCATTAACATCCTTGGCTTTCCCATCAAGGAACTGTAGCCAAAATTTGCTAGCAGTAAGTCTAGGAACAAACATTTCACCTACTACTTCTCCTTTAAACGGCCTAAAGTATGATTACAGCATATGATATGTTAACTGGTTCAAGTGACCAGCCAATAGAAGATGGGGAGAAATGGATGGGGAAGAAGGTGTAGACAAGAGAGGGCTGGGAGACAGAGACACGTGGGAAGGGTTTAAAGCCCAGAGGTTTCAATGAAGATGGAGAGATCAAAGAATGGGATAACAATCATGAAGATTACAGAGGTGGAGCTGATCCAGAAGGCCACAGGGGCAAGGAAATGGGAGTGAGCAGCTGAAGCAGAGCAGAGGAGGAGCTGCCGGAGTTTAGGAGGTCAAGGAACTGAGACATCAAAGTGTTTGGGGTTATTCACGTATATAATATATTTTTAAATTAGTTTTTTATTTTATTTTTTAGTGGAGGTACAGGGGATTGAACCCAGGACCTTGTGCTTGCTAAGCACACCTCTACCACTAAGCCCCATGTATACAATGACAATAAAGATACTTAAGATGATACTAGGACGTGGGGCACAGAGTGCACAACAAATGAGGAAGTTAGTGGATAGCAAAAACAAGGAAGGGCTATCAAATGGTACTCCCAAAGGGCATAAACCTAGACTTCAGACACCACAAACTTGGCAAACATGTCTTAGGTTGTACAGGATTAGGATATTTTTAACTTTTTATTTTGAAACACTTTTTCAAACAGAAAATGGTAGAAATAGTATAAC